CATCATCTTGGTAGGTTGGCACAGCTATAAACATCCCTGAGCGTTCCTTGGTGCATCATCAAAAAACATCACAAGACCGTTGGTGAATGGATCACCAATGGGATGGGTTCTGATGGAGCCCAGGGGAACCATTTCATGATACGAATTGTAAGTTATGCAGTAGGTGTTGTTCTGGTGTTGTTCTGAAGAAATGATTGGTGTTTCAGAATATTGAGCAATCTGTTATAAAACTTAAAACTGCATTTTTGACTTTTGACCATCACATGATCCATAATCTCCCTAATATTACACACAGACCCTGTGATTGGTCCAAGAACGGAATAGCGTAAAAAAACAATGTTTGTTTTCAATGTGTTTGTAACGACCTCAACAGAGATACAATCGTGTTTTATGAAGTGAGTTTTGCATTGCGGTGTAGCAACAGAATTGAACCGCTACAGTACTGCTAGCGTTTCTTGCAAAGTTCATATACGAGTACATAAGATACGGAATTGTCCGCCCCAATGGAACAGTTGACCATGCCGCAAGGAAGGTTTCGTTTGTATATATCATCATTAATTATCGCAATTATGTTTTTTTTGTTAAGGGTTTAATTACATAAGATCTAAAATAGCCCACCTCATAGAACAAGTAATTAACCATGCAATCATCATCATCACCATCACGCTCCTTGGGAGTCCGGGCAAACTACCTGGTTGAAATTTCTCAACGGGGGAAGGAATTACCAGTGGGCGCCTGTTGAAATTATGTCGGGAAAGATCATATGTTTATGACGCAGTATTACTGTGAAATCATCAGCAAACCTAGGTGAAAGACAGGAATGTGGCCCATCAAGATCAGAAGAGGCTTTTTTGTTGTATTTTCACCCGCTGTGCCGCACCATTCTGATCGCTGGTAAAGAGTTTAAACTGGTGATGTCAGATCTTATAGTATTACTCTATCCGTTCACTACAAGAACCAATTTGAATAGTTCCGATTTCCTCATGTCACCTTACGTCGGGGTTTGAAAAAACATGGCCAGCAGTCAACAGTGGCACTTTCTTTACCCGCCATAAGTTGCCAGAATGAGCCTGTGACTTTGGCGGCAAATACTCAAGGTGATTATAAGTGGAAGCTAGGTCAAATACACCCTATAATTTAATAGTATGTTGATGGTTGCAAGCTGGTTAAGTGTGGTTAATTTCTAGCAATCCAGATATATGGTAGTTACATAGTTATACCCAACCTGGTTAACTGTGGTGAATATCCAGGTATATATATATATATACATTTATATGTATATAGGTTTTGTAGAAGTTATATCATGATATCCACCTATATGTAATATCCATATGTATATATATATATATATACATAAACCCCTATGGTTGACTATGATTAATTTTCAGCCGGAGTAAAATTAGTTTCACAGCAAAAAAAAAACATATCATAAGCATAGTTGGTTATACTTACTGTAGTTTAATATCCCCCAGACATAGGAAACGTCAGATTCCCCGCGGGGAGATTTAGGAACCGCATGCGCAACGGTCGCGGTCAACAGCTCCACCTTACCACTGCCAAAGATAGGCGGGAGGAAGCTTTGGATGGTCACTGGGATGTTAATCCAGCCAAAATGGAGGTTCAACCGAGTTCAACCATCAACATACATCAAACAGCATCAAACTATGGGAATTTCATGGAGTTTTCATTTTTAAGATATGGTAATAAGGCCAATCAATGGATGGGTTTCTGGCAAAATCGAAGCCGGGTTCACCATGGCTCAAAGAGCCCAAAAACAACACGGGTCTCCCGTGCTGGGTTTCCCTTGAACCAGTTCTGGGGTAGGATCTTTATGTATTTGTTGAACAGTTGGTATTACCCTCTGGTAATTTGTTACATAGCTATTGAAAATGGCCCATAGAAATAGTGAGTGTTCCCATTAAAAATTGTGATTTTCCATAGTTATGTTAAATTACCAGAGGGTATGTCATTGATCTTCATTGGTTAATTTCACTGATGAGTTTCACTTGGAACAGAGTGTGATTTAACACCCAGCTGTCTCGCTGGTCTCCAAGAAACCTGCTGAGAGTACATGAGACCAGTATATGGATGTGTCTAAGCATGGGGACTAGCGGATTCCTTCAATTTTATAACATTTTGATAAGAAAGCAAAATCATCAGATTTTGGGGAGGTTTTTTTTCGGACAATCCGGCAGCCTTGCAGAGCGGGGTATACTGTGACTCTGCCGGGGGTGGTTGAGAATAAGATAGACCCCAATTGAGGAAATGGACCTCCTCGAAAATGTGGGCCAGTTCTTTGTATGTCAATATTATAAGCATGGTACATACATGTTGGCCTTGATCATCATACTTATCACATATCATTACTCGTTGAATGATATTGTATGTATTAGTCTACATAAATGACATAATGTATGTATACACTGTATATATATATACATATGTATACCAACCATATCGAACCATACACGTTGACATCTATCACATTAAATGTATATTAGTGTAGTATGTACTATGTACACATTTGTATGTTAAAAAAGCACCCTATGATAGCGTATCCCTACAATTTCATACAGTTCGTTGTGCAAAACCTACCAGGTGTTCCGATCATTTCCCTGAGGGAATCGTTGTTGGTTTCCCGCATCTATCTCGGTAAATTTGATCACGACCTCACTGGAAACTCCCTCACTGGAATTCATAGTTAGGGAAATCATCCCCAAATGGCCGCACGATTCAGGTTAGTGAAATATGATAATTTACCCAGATCTCTATATATATATACCCTCTGATAAACTAACATGAGTATGGAAAATCACCATTTTTAGTGGATAAATCCACTATCCATGGGCCATTTTCAAGTTCGCAAACTGTTTCCTCAGCCATCTGCGCTCCAGGGCGGAGCAGAAGTACCAGCCCTTCTCCAAGCGTGACACCGAGGTGTTGGACTCCTTGACGGAGTTCCTGAAACAGGTCCGGTGCAGCCTTTGGTACCATTGGTACCCCGAAAAGTTGGGGTATCACCTCTATAACCTCTATAATGTGGTTAAAACAATGCCATAAACTGTCATAAACTATAGCCATGAAAAATTTGGGAATGGTTTATACATGTTTATACCACCCATATTTATGGTGATTTGGGGGATAGTTTATCATTGTTTTAACATGTTTTAACCACATTAACGATGTTTTTGTATCCACTTATAACTGGAACTGCACCCCCACGTAGATCCCAAGGTCCCCATTTTTGGGACTCCAACAACTTAGTATAAACATGTCATTAAAACTTAACATTTCGTGACTTTGTGGGGAAGCTTGGGTTCCCAGGTCTACTTCAGCATCGATCCAGTGACTTTCGGCCCCCGTCAAGAGCGGAGCTTGGACCTAGAAGAGGATTTTGAGCCTCTGAATGCGACCCGGTGAAACCCGGTGAAAGGAGGGGGATCGACGGGATCGATGTCAACGACGTATGTGGGGAGTTGGTCATGCATACGTTTCGTCATGTCTCACTCATATTCACATGGGTAAAAACGTCAATCCATTGGCAAAATCACATGTTTCTTAGTCTTTTTGTCCAGTGGCAGGGGGCATATTCGCTGTGGGCGTTCTTGACTGTGAGACATGGAGCTAAGACAACTGGGGGTTGATGCAAAAATTACGCTGGAAATCCGAAAACATTACATCCTCGTTTGTATTTGTATTATTACATCATGTTGATTTCACAAATCCAAATTAACATAAAAACAACTATATAAATATAGATCATTTTATCATTGCCATCAACCAGAATCAACCAGCCAAACTTGCGCCAATGGAACCAATCCACCAGCAAGGTTTTGGTTCCGGCTGACCAAAACGTCGCTGCTAGTCCCATGCCAACTCCTCACATTCAAAGGTTGTAGATATGGGTGATCAAAGCTATTGAGCCCCAGGAATGGATGGTTCAATGCAAGAATGCAACATGTTTTCTTCCATTTGTATTGCATTCTTGACACATACTTCAAACTGTGACCAGATGGTTGCCATGTGTAAGTCAGATTATCATTCTTGCAGCCATGCTAATTTGCCAAATTGATATGGAACCCTACAAAGCACACACAAAGAATTGGACACATGTCATAGCGCACACATCCCAAGATTCTCCATGAGTGATGCTAGTTTTAAAAAATGACACATCTGAATATGTTTAGTTCTTTATTTCAACCATGTCTATTCAGATTACTTAAAACACAACTTATGTTGTGTATTATATATATAATATTTTATCACAATATATATATACATATCTAATATTACATATTTTGTACCTATATATGGAGGTTTCCTAAAATAGGGCTACCCCCAAATCAAATTTTATTTTAGATGGGGATTTTCCATCATAAATCAACCATCAACCAGCTATTGGGGTACATTTACAGAAACCTCCATAAATATAAGCCATTTAAGTTAATGTGAGTAAAACCATGTCATAAACCATCCCCCAGTCACCACCATTTTTATAGGTGCTATGTTTACCAATTTACCATTCCCAGTCATGGGTGGTAAAAATGGTATTGTTTTACCCACATTACAGTATAGCGACACACTGAAACTTAGAATGCTGACCAGTTTTCCAACATTTTTGTTTTTTTAACTTAGAATACGGCCAAAAACCATGTTTTTAGGGTATTTTAGAATGCCGGCCAGGGGACATTCTAAGTTTCAGTGCGTCGATGCATCAAAACACAGTATTGCCATACAAAATGCATATTTTAGGTAACAAAAGGCATGCCAAGTTCTCTCCGTGCAGTGTGTTTTCCTCCATAAAACCCCCAAAAAAACAGCAAACAGAAAGATAACTCCACTCCGTTTGAAGCACATATGCAACAAAAATTGCAATTCACCTCATATTTACAGGGTTTTGTGAACACTCAGTCTCCAAGACACCTCAAGACAGGTTTCCTTTTTCTTTCAAAATTGTCTCTTATTTCTTTCCCCATTAAAGATGGAAAACTCGAAAAACCAAGGGCAAAAAGTCCCTGGCACCACTTTTTTGAAATTTGCGTTTTTTTTTTGGCAGAGTGACGTTTCCAAAATTGCATTCTTAAGTTTCAGTGTGCCGCTATAAACATATCTATGGAAAATAACCATTTCTAATGGATAAATCAACGAACTAAATATGAAAAATATGTTGTTCACCCATTACTTCTTTAGTTATTAGTTAAATATTAACATATATTAACAAACAATCTTTAGGCTATGAATGGTAGATCATATCATATCCACTAAATATAGTAGATAAGCCATTCATGGCATTTTTTATTAATCTTCCAGTTCTGTTCTTGTTCTGGCAGGCACCCTCCATGATGAGTGGAGCCTCAGCGCCGAATCAAGGAATCCCGATAGACATGACATGGCGATTTTTCAGTATCAAACATGGCCATTAAACCAAGATTGAAGCATCACACATGTTGATTTTTCAGCGATTTTTTTGATTGAACAATGGGATTCGAAAAAATGAATTCACATGGTTGGTGATTCAAACAACAGATTCAACCATGAATTCACATGGTATTTTTAAAAAACAACAAAAAAGGAAAGACTCGACCAGTTTTTGGGGATATTGATTTGGCCAATGATGAACGGATTAATATGGATATCACCAATTGGGGGTCAACCAAGTGTTCAACCAACAAAAATTGAGGTATGCAATGAGAAAGGGACACTGTATGGGATATCACCAACCAACTTGATATGATATTTGGGTGTGTCTGATCATGGGGTACACCCCAAGAATAGTCATTTTAGTAGGGAAATGATGTTGTAACCTGCAACATTGGTCGTTTTCCCTTAAATTTCAGTCAGACCCATATCAGCCATTTAGACAGCTTAGCATTGTTTTTTCCTGTGTTTTCCCCTGATGTCGCTGGTCAAATCTCCATTCTTGGTGTCTTCAATCCCCATTCTGATGAAACTCCCAAGCCTCCATTTTTGCTGGCAAGTTTTCACCCTTACCCAGATTATTCCCTTCTGATCTCATTTTTTTACGATTAAACCAACATGGTTATACTACGTTTATAATGCTTAAATGTGCATTCTTGACGACCGCAATGACCCTACCAGATTATCAATCAACGTCAACTTCAATTGTTCAGCATTTACACTCCATCCCTATTTTAGATGCTTCGGAATTCGCATGTATGTAGTAACTGGTTGGTGGTTGTTCCATATATTGGGAATGTCATCATCCCAACTGACGAACTCCATCATTTTTCAAAGGGGTTTTTCAACCACCAACCAGATATATTATTCATTAGATCAGGTATTAATCACCAAGAACCACTATTAATCACTATTAATCACAGGTAATCAACTCATCACTTCCCCCCATTCGAAAACCCATGGTGAAATGGTGAAATGCATTGGATCGCCGCAGGAAGTCAACTCCATCGCCAGTCTGGTAGCCGCCTCTTGAGTCATGCGCAAAGCGGTGGCAGCGCGGCACCTTGGCCCAACAGATCCTGGGAAAATGGATAGTTTAATGATACAAAAAATCATATATTGGTATGTAATTATATATATTATATATAAATTACATTAATATATATATATATATATGTCTATCGTGGGAAAATGATGGAATAACGTGACTATAGTGGGAACAAAATGGGGATTTTGAATGATTTTGACTGGAATAATGGGATATCATGGGGACATTTGATTGTATCCGTTTGTTTTTGTCATCCCTAATCAACTTGATAGGATCTCTAGGTTTGTCTTCAAATGGAGAATCTACCTCCAAACATGGCGGTTTCAATAGGGACAATTGTGATACAGCAAACCATGGGATTTAGCTTCACCTATTGTGATTCTATGCGGCAAAAGTATGGGATTGTCGGCAGCAGAAAATGATAGGATTCCTGGAAGTGAATGACTCGCTTATCGAACGATGAGAATCCATGGAGCTATAATATATATATATATAAATATGAGGAGAGATGATGATTGTATTGACAAGGCTTCGACATCCAACATATTGTAGCTTATTTTCATGGTTTTTCACAATGTTTTTCTTCATTTTTCCTGGGATTGAAAGCATTAAGTCGCCAAATGGAGGTTTTCATAGTCATGGGGGTACCCCAATAGCTGGATGGTTTATAAGGGAAAATCCCCATCTAAAATAGGGTTGATTTAGGGGTAACCACATTTTAGGAAACTTCTAAATATCATCATGATTTATAGCGCATGTTCTTATTTTCTTTCCATGCCACCCAATCAAAACTTTTAGTGCTGCATCTTATTATTTGGGCAGTTCATATGGGGGATCTTTTATACAGTTGGTGGATGGAATTAACTCCTAGTATTATCGTAGTATACTATATTATATGGATTTATAGGGAGAAGGAACAAAGATATCATATATTTGCCGGCACATAGCCGGTATTTGCCGGGACATAGCCGGTACGTAGTTTGGGATCCTTCAGATGAGCTCCCCAGGTGAGCATGGCTGCGGGGATGTTTGGCATCCTCGGGAATGCCTTTGCCAAAGGCGCGCCTCGAAAAAGCATCGAAAGCATCCAGCTGCAACATCCATCGATATGTATCAAAATGGAAGAAATCCTTCGAACCACCGTCAGGTTTGCAAAGTGATTTTTTTGTTGTTGGTTTTGAATGGTTCAACCCTGGCTTTTTGATTGGTTCACATCAACGGAATGGAAGACATTTCAATTGCTGGGTTTTTCAATGGTGACCCGCTGAAAAATATCAACTGCTCTGGCCTGTTTTACATATGGAAACCTTTGATATACCTGGCAACTTGATAGTAAAAATATCTGGATACTGGATAGTATGAACCGAAGAACTCAAGTCTTTTGAGATTTACTGCAGGATAGTGTCTGTAATATTATACATGTACATTACACAGTAGTAGTTCCCCAACAAACACCACGAGTTCAACAATGATTTGTTGAGTACACACATGTTGACACCTTCCTCAACAAACGCACACATGTATATTTGGATTTATGCATGATAAGATACCGATATATATATATATACAGATACATGTCATAAAGATATAATAAACCTCATGATATTAAGCAAATATCGATATAATATGGTATGATTATATTTGTATGATCGCGTATGTATACTGTAGGTACATTTGCAATATATATATGTATATATACACACATACATACATTTATATAATCATGCTGAAATAGATGGAATGTGTACATGTCCATAAACTAATCACTAAAAATGGAATATGATTGAAAATTCCCTGACCTATCTTGTGCAGGATGAATATACAATGTGGCGCCCCACCCAGTTATAAGGTGGTTTATAAACCCATTAATATAGGCACCACCTTGTCCAAATGTTTATATATAAATATACGTATATATATATATATATATATTCCCTTTGGTAATTTAACGTAGCCATGGGAACATTCCAATTTTGAGAGGGTAAATCATCACCAACCATCTATGTTCATGGTCCATGGCTTCCATAGCGTTAAATAAGTACATTATTAACTACCATGCACTATGAATAGCTATGTTAAATACCCACAGGCTACTAGATGGGATGCACCCATATAAACCCATGTAAATACCAATATAAACTCATATTTTAGGCCCTGTAAACATGTGTATATATATATACATATTTACAAATATATACATATATCTATGTATAGTGTGTATATATATATATATACATATATATTATGTATAAATATATCATGTTGTGGGATCAACCTCTCACCCAGCTTCTTGCGCGGTAGGTACCACCCAGCGCCGCGCGGAGTTGCCGGACCTGGTGGAACGCCCCGAGGCGATGTCGACCATCGAAACATGGGCGAAGTGTTGCGTATCTTGGGCATCCCACTTAGCAAGTGGTGTATAGTCCATGAACCCATGTATATATAGTTATATATATAGTTATATATATATAGTTATATATATAGGTATATATATATATATTGTTTTACCCACATTATACCCCCAACTATATATGCAATATCCAGACTTAATTATACATGTGGGTTTATGGGTTATATATGGATTATAGACCACTTACTAAGTGGGATATGCACATAGATGTGGAAAACCCATCCTCTCCCTGGGAAGATGATCAGCTTTCATGATGTATTGTTTCCACATTTTATTCGTTGTTTCAAGGATGGTAGCCATGAAAGATCGAGGACTCCATTAGTGGGATGTCAATGAAACATGAATGACTTACTCTCTTGAAAAAAAACAGTTCGCAAGCTGGAAAATCACCATTGATATACGCGTTGAATCATCAACTAAATGGGCCTTCCCTACCATAGCTACGTGAAATTACCATGTAGAAACATACCATGAAAACGCAGAAATTTAGACAGATTTAGCTATTTGTTGATGTCTTAGAGTCTTATATATCATTTTTTAATATACTGTACATATATAATATAGATATACAGGCGGACTGGTGATTTAATTAATAAAGCAAAGATGTGAAAAAGAGTCGGACATAGATCATGAACAAATCATGTTGAGAAGTCATCAACAGATTCGCGCTGATTTCACGAACTGGATTTGGCAATGCCACCACAAGGATATGTGCCATTGCCGAAAGTTAAAGCTTAAAATATTGCAGAGGATCTAATGATTTAACAACAATAATGGTGATTGCATATGTGATGATTTAATGATCAACATGGTAATTTAACGTTATTTAACGGTTCAACATGTTTTTTTTTGATAAGATCAATGGTGATTTTTTTCGAGCCATGTTGGGATGACCATACCGGTGATCTCCCAGCCACGAGGGATTTCCCAGCCACGCTTGATGATATCTATAGATATCTATAGTAGATATATCTATAATGATATTATTAACATGGTAGATATTTTGTTATAGATGGTATTATGCATTAACTATAGATATATGTAGATATATCTACTCGTTCGAGGGTCACTTCTGGGCGCCCGAAAAAAAACGGGTCACAACTCGCCGTGGAGCCTTGGCAGGTGCGGGTCACTTCTGACAGTTCAGAGGCCATCAGCGCTGCACCTGGTTGGGTCTACAAGGACCTGAGGAAAAACTGGAAAACTGGAGAACTGGTTGGTGGTTTCCTATATACTAGTGGTTAATACCCATAATTGTTGGTTTACATCCCATTATATCATAATAATATGCTTACTGAATCCCCATTTGGTTGGTGGTTTCAAACATTTGGATTATTTTCCATTTCAGATATGGGATAATCCGGAACCCATTGACGAACTCATATTTTTCAAGATGGTTGAAACCAGCAACCAGACCATCCTTGATAAAGGTAAATCATCCATAGTTGAATCAGGACGTAGTTACATAATTATACATAGTAATGTTAAATGACCTGAGGGTAAGCTCAATGGCATAATACACGTCTAGTTTGTTTTTTCCCGAATATATTACAGTATCCATATTGATCATTTAGTACTTCATTGTTTAATTTATGTAGTTCTGTTCTGATCAAACATCATTTTCATTTGTTCACCCAATGTGGTAAACCCATCGCCATGCAGCTCGGATTTTGGATGGTACATACAACCTATTTCTGTTCATACTTTCTTGCCTGTTTGGATAAGTTATGTAACTCTGTACAATAAGAGCAGGGTGCAAGTCTGGTTCAAGCAATTCTTGGTAGTCTTTAAGCACCATACCTAGGAGATCATTTAGGCACCAATTGCAGCCTGAATTGAAAAATATGCCTTTTGCATTATCGGGCAGAAAAACCGTTTGCGAGCAGAAATCCCTTTTTGATATGATTTTGATGATTTTCAGGGAAGTTTCCAGGCTCAAAAAAGCTTGCCCACATGTTGGGGTCTATGTTGCTGATCATGCCAAGCTATGCCTTGTGTGTGTGCAAGTTTGATGTGTTTGTTTAAGCAGTTTGAACAGAAAGGGTGTTCTTGTTGACCAGAAAAGTAACAAACATGGCAACACGTTTCAGGCGGAGATTTCCACGAATCAGGCGGAAATCCCCGAAACACAAATTTGGAGGAAGATTGAAAACTACATTGTGATGTTTTAGGCATCTGATTTTGTGATGGATGTTGTCCTAGTAATTATCCTATATGGTCAATTCCTCGTGAAGAATACTGGTGGATCATGGGAAAATCTTGGATCAGGCATGTTTTCTGAATGGGCTCGGGCAGGAATTCCTGCCTCCTGATTTGGTATAGATCTACCCTCTGGTTATTTAACATAGCCATGGAAAATGGCCCATTTATAGATGGTTTACCTATTAATAGCATGGTGATTTTCCATGGGTATGTTAGTCATAACCACAGAAAAATCATCTCTCCACGAAGTCACCTCAAAATTCACGTCAAAGCTTTGTCGCCTTTTTCACGTATAAAAACATCGAGTATAACTGCACAGAAGATTTCAATCTTTGGATGACAAATCACGATGCGATAAATGTTTGAAGTGTGGGTAGTGCAAGTGCTGAAGCCACAGATTGAATACGATCTAGCCTTCTGATTCTGTTTGTTGGTTTTGCTACACTTGCGAGCTTGATTTGCAAGATTCCCCAAATGGTTATTTGGATGATTTTCCAAAAATTGATGGACTATTCTTGTGGCAATCTTGGGCAATCCGGCAAACCGAATGTTGTGTGTAAAACGAATGCATCGTGTTTCTCAATAATCTCAATTTTCATGTTTGAGAATTCAGTCCTTCCGTTTGCTGGTGAAGTCTGATGATTTTACCCATCTCTCCCTTTACAATCCTTGATTTCTCTATGGATGTGTTGTTTTTTGCTGGTCGAATCAGCTATTTTTGTGGATCTAATCTTTATCTTTTGATGGTCTAAATACAGATGTTCGTTTGTCCAAGCCTTTTATTCTATGGTTTTTATTGTTTAAGCCTCCATTTTCTATGGGTTGAACTCCTTTTTTTCGGTGTTTGCCGGGTTGAACCACGCCTTTTTCAACGTTGCGTGGCGCGTCGTGTTTTTCGCTCTAGGAGTGGACTGATGAAGATATGGATCTCTTGGACACCCATCATGCGGTGCGGATGGCCGGTTCTTCCAGTGATCAAATGTTTTTTTTGCTGGGAGGAACCATCTATAAGGTTAATAATATAGTTAATCATGGGTAATTAAAATTTTCTAGATCTGGGTAATTTATAGCGACCTCATTGCGACAGAACCCTGGAATCATGATTTAAGGGGAATCACGTAGCTATGTTGAATAATCATATAGGGTATGAATCTGTGATAGGAGTATAGTTCGGAATCCAATATTGTATATACATGTATATGTTACAGTCTCAGTATATCTCAGTACATAATATTTAAACATATAGACATGGACAGTTATATATATATGAATTATATATATATAGCCAACTATGATAACGGTTATAAGAATGGGAATTCATTATATATCATGGTTTTAAAGGGTATAGCCCTTTTTGATTGTCAAAACGGATATTCGAGCAACTAGACTGGGGATATGATGGGATGTAATTACATAATGTCCAAAAAATATCAAACATCTACTTGGGGGTTGTAGTATCCAATGTGTTGAGGATTATCATCGTCCATGATAGGAATCCCTATTGACCAACCAGTGGAATGACAGAGATATCTGAACCATGCTCATCTCGGTAAAACAAACATCTTAGTTGGAAACAAAATATAAACAAATCAGTAGGTTCGAAAATACTGGCACCATTCATGTGGATACGATCAAATCGAAAATTGGGATGTGCACGTTTTGTATATATAAGTATATATATATATGTATATATATATATATATGTAAATCCTACTTTCAAAGGTAAAACCATGGTAAACCCGACATGTTTGACGGTCAAACGGTCATTTTTTTGGTGACTGCACCTGCTTGTGGACCTTCCACAGGCGGCGCGACGGCGCATCGGAGGCATCTCCTTGCTCACGACGTGGCGCTTGAAGGAAGATGTGAGGGTGGATCCCTTCTGTGTTGCTTGGCCGAGGGGATTGGCTTGATTCAGCGACTGTCCAAATTCATGGGGATTTGTTGAAGATAAAAAGGCATAGTCTGTATTTTACAAGGCAAACAGTTTCAGAAATGACAATCAAAGGTGAAATGTAGGTTCTTTGAACACATATACGTTTTTTCTCGACCACTTCAGCTTGAAAACCAGGCGATTTGCGACTGATTTGAAAACATTGCATTTTGTGCCAATATCAGAGAAAACAGTGGGGGGGTACCTACAGGAAACAGCACTCCCTTGCCCAGCCTTGAGGGCATCAGATTCGGGGCTGTGTCCCATGGCAACGGTTGGGGGTCATACTTTGGAGGAAAAGATAGAAAAACCAGGGGAAGATTGAAGATCTGATTATTTTTCTGGATCAATCAATATTGAAGGAGGGAATGTTTTAACAGATGGAGAGAGAGATGGGGACATAAATGGACATAATCGAATGAGGGTTGGAGTACAGAATCAAGGGGCAAACATTTGCTGCCTAGGAATGAACCTCAAATCGTGAGGTTGCTGTATATCCTCACTTCTTGGGTCAAACTCTGCTGGAATCTGCCGATGTGTCAGGCCATCTGTCGCTTTCAGATTCGTGTAGCCCGAACCTCCCGGCTGGGAGCCGAACAAGCAGTGTGGATTCTTGGATTTGGACCCTGGCAAGGTGGACAATTTATCCTGTTCTTCAGGGGAAAATTGAATCATGAACTGGCTTGCCATGCTTGCCATGTTTAAGACCTGATGTGTGGGTTTTAATAGCCTGACTATACATGACTATACAACATATGATATATATATATACATATTATGATATATATATACATATATATATACATACACATATATATATATATATACATATATATGTCTATACCTATATATATATACATATATATATGTCTATACATATATATATATATATATATTCTATGTGGTATATGGTATCATTATGTTGGCCGTTACAATTCCCTATGAGATACTGGTGGTATGACCATCCCCTATACGGGTATATCATATTTACTATGTATATATATATAACTCTGGACCATGGCATATATGTGCACAAACAAGCATTTAGCCAAAGGTGCCACGTACTTGAAGTTACAGATGTTTCCAATTCCTCTGGGGTCCACTGAGTTTCTCGTGCTTCCGCGCTGTCAGGATGTTGTGCAGCGATCTTTGGATGAGAGATATATACATGATACCACAAAGCTGGGCACACACACGCAGCAAATAGAGTTCATGTTCCCAACTACAGACTTGTTCGTTTGGGGTTCCATCTCAGGTTTCAGGCTCATGTCCAACTTCTTCATAGTTGGTTCAATCCCTTTCTGTGTTGGCTAAAACCCCACTTTCAAAGGTGAAACAGACACAATTCGAGGAAAGAAGCGCAACCTTTCTTCTGTGTCTCTGCAGACGAGGTGGTTGCTTGCTGGGGCTGTACATACATCCATCAGCGCATGATTTCCATCACACCAAAATGACACACTCTCACACAGGTATGTTTCGGAATTGGCGTATCAGAGTGACGATTCCACCAAAAAGAGACTATGTAAATATATATATATATACATAATATATACATATTCTAGAACAACAACATCAAACGGTTGCATTCTGGGTTTCAAAAAATGAGTCACAGACATCTCGTGCCATATAGAACCTTGCAGATACTCCAGCCAGCTTCACTGGTCGACTTGGCCACTATTTCCTGGTCCATTTCCAGCTGGTTGTGTGGAGACCATGTACCCTCTGGTAATTTAACATAGCTATTGAAAATGACCATAGAAATAGTGGATTTTCCCATTAAAAATGGTGATGTTCCATAGTTATGTTAGTTTACCAGAGGGTAGATGATATTTGGTTAGGTGATTCCAGTATCATCTGTGATTTACTGTGCGATATTCCCGTGTTCAGCAGTGTGTCCTGCCAACGTTTTCTGCTGATGAGATCACTTTTTCCCTTACAACTGGCCATCACATGGTGGCCTTTATTTCTGGACACCCACATTAGAGCCTTCAAGAGAATGTTCTGCATCTGAACCTATGATTTTCCTGTTTTTTTGGGGGTATATAGGTTATGATGCCATACTTCAGAGGGATGACCATCCAGAATATTACGAGCTTGCTCTTGATGTGATGAACATATGTTATTTGTGCATAAGCGCTGTGAATTCTTGAATGATTCAAAACGACTGGCCAAACTATTTCAAAACCACGTTTGATAATCATAATCAGGATTACATCCATACCAGGCCACGGTTTCCAGTCCAAATCATACCCTCTGGTAATCTTATCTGACAAGGAACAATTCTCCATTGATAGGGGATTTGTCAGCCAAGTTTCACCAGGGTGTTTCCATTGAGAAACCTCCATGTTTCCCATTGCCATAAGTAACCACAATCAGGATTTTCATCCGACCAGGATATCTGATGTTTCCAAATTTAGGTTGTTTATCCATCGTTTTTGCCATGTTTTCGTTGTTTTCCCTGGAGATTGCCATCGTTTGACCATTCTCCTGGTCCAGAACGTGGTGAGCGCCTTCCTTTCGGACTTCTTGTGCTACGGCGAGGAGTACATCGTCAGCGTCCGCGCAGGCTCGGCGGATCGCTGGTGCCTCGGCGATCGCTGGCGACGAAAAAACACGCGGGTGAAGGTGTGCGAGGGGATGATGATGTCGTCATCGATGTAATATGTTTTTTTTATTTGAGTTACTGATATGAATAGTTAAGTTGAAATGCAATTTATCATATTATATAATATCATTATGATGTTATTTGATGCCTTGTTTTTCCATGCTTCAAGGAACATATTTGATCAGAAGATCTTCGAGCCCAGGGTTCCTTTTTTTTTGTGCATTATCATACAGTGCTTGAGCATGATTGAACTGTATAAATATATAATTACATGTGTATATATATATACATACGTATATTATATTTAATATATATATATACATATATATACATATATATATATATATACATATGTATATATATATACACGGTATTACACGGTTAAGTTAACATATGCGTTATATATATATATGTAATTATATCTTATGTATAGACGAGTACTTACTGACAATGTGTATACTTTTTATGACCATGGCTCAAACAATGCAAACGATGTGTACCCCTAAAAAAGACAAATGTTGCAGAATTTGGAAAAGTGAATGGTTCAGTACACAAGATAAGTTACTGAATTGCTTTAGGATGTACTGCCGATATGTAAAAAAAAAGCGTATGTGTGGGCCGTGGCCATATCATTGCACCCCACAAGACGTTTTTTTATAGTGTGAAGATACAGAGGCATGTGTAGTCCCAAAATGTCCCATGTTCATTGGTATATTGGTCAGGACATCACTGGTTGGTGGTTTGGAACATGAATTTTATTTTCCATAATATATGGGATGTCATCCTTCCCATTGACTAATATTTTTCAGAGGGGTAGGTATACCACCAACCAGATCAATATTGTTGCTTTAATCGTCATCTTTGTTGCTTACTTCCCAATGGTTGTCGTATCCCGATGCTCCCCCAATCCTCGCATTGCCTCGCATCAGGAGTGAATGGAGCGCTGCTTCGGAGCCACGTTGTCTCAAGGCGCAACGAAGTCATTTGGCTGTGCCCGCAAAAAATGGGGGTACCCAATAGCTGCTATAGCTGGATGGTTTATTTATGTTTATTTCATGGAAAATCTGAAAATAGAGTGAATGATTCGGGGGTAGCCCTATTCCAGGACAGCTCCATTTGGCAATTTCACAGATTTCACAGTTCGCGAGTTTAAAACCATGGGCCATTCAGTTCGTCGGGCTATCTAAGGTCAGCCATGGTTAATCCAAAAGCATCAAAGACTTCGCAATGACTTGCCAGATGTGGATGATCTCCGATAAAAACTCTACAGATGGACAGGCAAATACAGTGAATGAAAAGCTAGATAGGTAGTATGTATATTCAAACATTAATCCTCATTTTGCTGGTAAAAGCGACAATATTTGCTGGCAAATCCACTTATCATATTCACTGCTAAATCCAATCGGCATGCACAAACCAGACAATTTCAGCAGTTGGATGAATCATTTTGACATGTGAAGAGTAGATAGAAATTGTGCATTCTCCATATATACATCTTCCCATAGATGTTCCACTTTATGGGTAAGTCTTCCCCAATTTTCCATAGATGTTCCATGTTAAAGATATGTTTTCATCATTATTCCATGGATTTCAATAGGTTTTCCGGTTTTCCATGGATTTTCACAGGTTTTCCCCACATGGTCATAGGCTTTCCATGGATTTTCATCGGTTTTCCATGGATTTTCATCGGTTTTCCATGGATTTCCATCGGTTTTCCATGGATTTCCATGGCTTTTGCCATGGAGTCTTCAAGGGATCCCCCGTTGGCCAGGCCAGTGACTTGAACCCGGGCAGCGCGAAACTGCGCTGTAAGCTGGTGCCATCGCTGCCCTCCACAGAGCTGACGGAGGCGTGGACGAAGTCATCAACATTTACCCTTTGGTTATGACTAACATAGCCATGGAAAATCACCATTTTGGATAGGTCAACCATGATGTTTATCCCCTATAAATGGAAAACTAATGTACCATCTGGTTATGACCAACAAAGCCATGGAAATTCATCACTTTTAACAGGTACATCATCTATTTCGATTGGTCATCTATACCATGGCTATGTTAGTCATAACCAGAGGGTAATTGGGGATTTTATAGTGGTAATTCTCATGATTTTAATATTAAGTTAATCAACGTGGTCATTTTTTTCATTGGTGGTGCCATTAAACCACCATTTGATGATTTTAACGGGGATTTAATACTGATGTCATACTGATTTAATGGGATTGTTTGGACATAGTTTGATGATTGTCGATTATTTTAACATCGATATTGTTTGGTTGCTATAGTTACTGAGTCTAATTGATGATTATATCATAGATTAAATTAGTTACAATATTTGTTGATAACTATGTTTGTTGATGATTTTAACATATGGGAATTGGTCAAAACCCATTATTGCAATATAGATCCATATAGTTACTATAGGATATTTCAAAACCAATTATTTCTTGAATGGTGTTTCAAAAAATACTGATTTTTCATGGGATTGTTTGAACATAGTTTGGTGATTTCCATTGGACATTGTTTTTCTTTAACTTGTTGATACTTGACATATTGTTAATGACCATGTATAATTGTTGATACTTTCCATTACAATGATATTGTTACTATAGATTTGTTACTCAACATATAATAGTTGATAATTATGATTGTTGATTATTTTTTACATAGATTTGTTTGGTTGGCAAAGCTAGTGAGTCTAATGGATGAGTATAATAGTTACAATATTTGTTGATAATTATGATTGTTGATGATAAATCACCAATGATTAATGGAAACTAGTCTTCCAACCCCTATCTGCCAGGGTCTATGTTAATTTACCAGAAGGTAATAAAATCAATATAGACTATATGTATTGTTTTAATATTGGTATATAATAGTTACATACTATAGTTTGTTTTGTTTCTGCTGGGTTGAGTTGTTTTTCCTTGTTTTCTAAAAAATGTTTTTTCGTCAATCTGGAAACAAAAACTCAGAATCCAGCTACAATGGTGGATTCAATATTTCAATAATGTACTAATCCAAAGTTTCAACGGCTTTTGAATGCGGATATGTTCGGATATGTTGGTTGAATCATAGGGATCACTACCATTGTTGCTTAAGAGGATTTTATATTATGTCTTAACCAACATGTTGATAGTTGTTTTAATAGAGATTTAACATGATGCGTTTGATGCTTCGCTGATGACTTCGGGACGGACTGGGATCTGGCAAAAATCATCCCAACAATAAGAACTCTCTAAATGGTAATTTCAGCATGCTCGTATATGTATATGTATATGTATATGTATATATCTTATTAATATATATATAATATATCATACCCAATGGTATCCTAAATTAGGGTGGTTATACCATGGTTATACTCATCACATCCCAATTGAAGACATTATAAATCCACGTTTATACCTATTTATATCCTCGTGTATGTTGGTTGTCCATGCATGTAGTACTTGTATAGTACATGTGTCCAAATCTATGTCCAAATCTATGGCTATGCGTTATTTCCTTGTATTTCACCATGGTTACATCATGGTTTTACCCACATCCATACTTTTATGATCTTTTATACAGATACATACACACATTCACCATAGTTGCCAAGCTTATACTGTAGATTGAAAGCCATGTTCGTTGCAAAATTGCAGGCCTTTGCGCTGCGTGAGCATCTGCTGCACTTTGCCTTTCCAGCCTTCGAGAGTTTCGACGCGCGCAGTCCTTTGCCGGTGGAGTATTGCATAGAGGTGCGGAAAGTGCACTGTGCGTGTCATGTGGAAGGTGAAACATTATAGAAATATATATATATATATATATATTACATGTCTATTTACATGTATACACTTATACCTTTCAAATGGATATAACCCATGCCATAGATATACACATACATACGGTTTTTGCATATATTTATGTGTATATGTATACACACATGCTAATGCATTTACGTATTGTGGGTTTGTTGGCAAAGAAAACTATGGCCCAGTTTACCCAATGACTTTCCTGAAATGGTGTTTTTTTTGGGGGGGGCTACAAGAAAGGGGCTTACGGAATTACCGTTTTACCACATGATCAAGTTTGAAAAAACATGAGCCCCTCAAAGTAAACTATCATAAAACCATTATGATTACCACAATCATGGCGGAAAAAATGTGTTTCACAAGTCAACCATGGCAGTCATCGCGGCCATGTTCCCCTGAGGGATGTTGATCCCAAATGGCTTTCATGTTGCGCCCGCATGGTGAAAAACAAGGAGTTCAACAGCGAACCAGAGAGGGATTTGATATAAGGATTTACCCAGCAGTATTGGGAATATTCTGAGGATGTACCGACAAGATCGGTAAAACACATGAACAATCAATAACAATCATAAAGTGGACGAGGTTTGGCCAGTAAATCATCAGTAAAATGACTCTGGCTTGATGATTTAGAGATATTTAGAGAGTATTTCCATGTATTTCCGCAATGTTGTGTATGCTTGATTCATTTCCCACTGTTACTGGTTTATATGATAACATGGACGTGTCATGATTTGTCTGAAAGTAGGATACCCCTCAATTCGATGTTTTAGAATCATTTTTTACTATTCAAATTGCTCAAAATGTGGTGCACTTCATTTTCAGTCACTCCCCTATTTCTTGTTGGTACTAAGTTTTATCCCCGCCCATATCCCTGTCGGTTTCCTATGACTGTTGCTTATAAATACATGTTTTTGTGGTAAAACCACTCATATTTGCTGCTTAAATAGGTTCAAAATCCATTAAAAACCATATTTTAAAATCCATTAAAATCCATATATGACTGTTGCTGAAGTCAGGCTGAAGTCATTTTTTTGGGGTGATCCAGGCATGGCAGCGCCCCGACCTCCTTGGAGCTTCAGCTGTTGAGGGCCTTGAAAGCTACAACCGCACCGCAGGGACCGCGACCGCGGATCCTGCGGATCCGTAGCGTGGTGGCGACAGAACGACCTCACTGTTCTCCCTCACTGGATTACCCTCTGGTAACTAACATAGCTATTGAAAATGGTCCATAGAAATAGTGGATTTACCTATTAAAAATTGTGATTTTCCATAGTTATGTTAAATTACCAGAGGGTAAAGGTTAGGATTCGGGGAATTCTCCCCAAATAGCCAAACCATTCAGATCAGTGATTTTTTGTATAATTTAGCCAGAGAACATGGGGTTTTATGCCATGAAACATGGTTGATTTAACATGATTTAACCAAGAAACACATGATTTAAGATATTTAAGCAAGAATAAATGTGATTTCAGAAAGGATAATTGTGATTTTACAAACATAAATGGTGATTTGATCATCATTCAGAATGGGATTGAACTAACAGACAGTCGCGGTTTTTTCACCATGAAAAAAGTGGAATCTTAGCTAATGAAACACAGGGAGAATTGCCATCAAGTTTTTAGGGAATATGTGTTGGTATATCACCAACACATGGTTTCAAAATGTAGATGTAGAAAGAGACAGTTAGAGTTCGAAATTATCTATGAACTGGAAATTATCTATGAATGTAGATGTAGATGTAGAAATTATCTATGAACTGGAAATAGTTAGATTTCGAAATGGTGATTTTTGATATGAGCTAAACATTGGGGTCTAAGCACTGAAGTTCGAAAGCACTTAAGTTCAAAAACAGTGTTGCGTAGCAGGAGTACATGAGGGTTTGACTGTTGCTTCGAGTTGAAGTCTCAACCAGTGCTGATCTCAGGCGATCTTTTGTTGTTTAATGGTTCAATTATATATATATATGTGTATCTATCTATCTATCTGCATGTTACATTAATTATATACATGTATGTATGTATATAATATGTGTATATATGGAGCATATCCCAACCAGGATTGGTCGCCCCACATCCCAGCTGAACATAGGATTGCCCATGGGATTACCCACGTCTTTCTTTTGGTTGAAATGATTTGGTTCCTACCCACACGAAGAGATCATCTGGATATACCCTGTTTGAGCAGTTTTACAAGTTTATTCACTGCCGCAAATGGGTATATATAGAATTGTGTCTAATATATATATACATATATATACATATATACATATATATATATATACATATATATATATACATATATGTATATATATATGTACACATATGTATATACATACAAATATATATATAATACCTCCAGAAACCAAGCTTTAGTGATGAATTCACATAGTTGGGTTCATGAATCATGGGGGTGACTCCGGTTTTCCCTGGGTTTTTCTTAAGGCAAGGGATCCAGATCCCTGGTGCGGGTCCCGAGTGGCGCCATGCCGCGCCCATTTTCGTGACCAGCGTGAAGAGTGACGAGGCGCCGAGCATGCAGAGCCAAGGGTGCTCCATGCTGGCCATTTGATAAACGCCACGATGACTTAGGCACAATCAATGTACCATGTATGTATGTAATGTAAAGCAGTGTATTGTAATGTATTGTATTGTATGGCAATTGTAATTGCAATTGTAATTGTAATGTCATGTACTGTAACGTACTGTAATGTAAGATGATGTAATGTTACGATATGTTTAAAGTATATAGACATAGGATACAAAATGATGAATATATATATAATATGGAATTATTGTGGAACAAAGGGGCCGCAAGCATTCCAACAATGGGATAACTTCCTGGATGTTCTCTATCGAGGCTCACCTATTCGCTAAGATGCTCCAAGTTAGTGCTAGGCGATTTCAGAGATTTGTTTTGAGCAACCAATGTAATAATACATCATATTTATATGGGACGTGTTTTTTAAATAGATATGTTAAACTGTTAAATCATTTGTTGATTACGGGGTATCTAAGGTGGACCGCATAAATAATTAAGAAATCCATATGTTGAATTTGTTTGGATACGTCGTCTGATATAGTTTATGCACTCCAGTGGATAGAACTTATATACAGCTGCGAGTTGCTATCATCGACTGATCAACAGTGTGTCAATCTGGTTTCTCCTGCTGATACCATGGTTACGCTTTGCCAGTCCAATGTGGCAGTTTATAGATGATTTCCCTATGAAAAAAACATGTTATCCTACTACCAGGGTAGATCACTGCTGCCTTTGTTATGCATATATATATATATATATATATATACATACATATTATATGGATACATGTGTATTTTATATGTACAACATGTATACATATATATATATATGTTTCAATTGCATCTATTGGGAGCCTTGAACACAAGACACGCCTGTATTGTCTACGCTGCGCGTTCATATCCATGTTCGCATCCATTCATATTCATGTCACGAAAGCTAGCCTCAACTAGTCGGAGTTACTCTTGCTATAGCAAGGAATTGGATGGCAGGTCGGTTTCATGCGCAGTTTTCAAGTCACGGATCTCTGGTTTATTTGTGGTTGAAGTCACGTGTTCGATTGGTTTTGAGTTACTGGTTGGCTTTGAGCCAATCTTGGCATGAGTTGGCGTACGGTCAGATGTTAATACACTAATATAAACGCTAATATACGCTAATAAACGCTAATATACGCTAATAAACGCTAATATACGCTAATAAACGCTAATACCCTTTATGATACTTGACAGAAGGCTCCCATAACTTGCAACCAAAATATGTAAATGTTATATATATATATATATATATGTAAATGTTATATATATATGTATGTAAATGTTATGTACACACATGCATACATGCATAAATACATGTCCCCATCATACATATCTCTGTGATACCCCGATTTCATAGATGACTAAACCACCTCAACTAGCATTAAACTTTGCAGTTTTGATGCTTAAATTTGGATTTGATTGTGAGACCCTGAGAAATCAGATCAATTGTTGATTGGCTTCCCAGTGGTTGGTGTTTTCAATGCCTCCCAATTTGATCAGTTTTCAAAACCACTGTTGCTCGATGATTAGTGCGAGGGGGTTGCTACCCCATATGTCTTTGCGGCAGCATCATCCCTAAACTGGGAATCCCGTGCTTGACCAAGCAGTAGTGTGGATTTTTAAGGGTTGATGTTTTAGGCTGAAGAGTCTATTGGATGGTTGAGTGCCCAACATATCCCAATATACCATCTGTAATTTCCCAGTTTATCTCATTAACTCCCATTAACTCACCTGACATTTGATAGTTTTGCTGCTTCACCACCCATGTAGAGACAATCAAAGCCATGAAGTTCATGGCTCCCGTGGATCGCAAGGTGCGCTCTGGCAAGCTGGTGGAGTGTCAAGTGGATGTGCGAAAAACGGCGCTGGTGCCACAGTCTCAGGTCTACTTCAGCGTCTTGGCAGCTGAAATGTTACGACAGCCGACAGCCGAGGCGGCATGTGGACTTTGGTTTGAAAGTAACAGTATATATATATATACGTATATATAATCACTAGTTATACGTATATATATATATATATATACATGAACATAGATTATGAGGTTCATATTGCTGATGAGATCTTGGCTCTGGTTGGAAATGGTGTTAATTTTAATGTATAATTCGATGTCACTGATTATAATGCTTTTACCTGCTGATTCATTGCCTTACAGGTGATGATTACACACCTTTTTTGGACAAGTTTTTTTTTCTACGTTTGGACATGTGGTCAGCCAAAATTTATCTCAGAAAAGAGGTTCCGATTGAGGATAAACCATTGGATTGCCCTATGCTCATCAAACAATGAGGGGAATGAATTTTCAAACATTGAACAGTGTTCAAAACCCTGATTGGTTGATGATTAGTCTGGGGATTATGATTATTATACTACCCTTTAGACTTTAGACGTTGGTGAATACATCATAATACTACAATCCATGACATCCATGAACTGGGAACAATGAGGTGGACACTATGGCTAAATAATGGCATTATGGGACCAACAAAAAATGGTTAAATATGGTTAGTATGATGGTTATGTTTAAATACACCAAATTTAAAATACTACATCCAAGTAAAATGGTTAATGTCCAGAAATTGATGTTTTAAAATGGTTAAATAGGGTTAAATATACTACATCCATTTAACCATATTTAACCCAATTTTTGGACACCATGGAGCCGATCCGCTTCATTTCAGGTGTGAAGGCCAGATATCTCAGCTTGCCCTTGGAGACCAGTTTCAGCCGCTCGGAACGGCTTTTTTTTTTTTGTGGACATGGGTACCCTATGGATACATGTATGTCGTGAGTCTACATAGTTGTGTATATACAATGCATTACAGTATTATATAGCATTTGTATATATATATATTATAACTATATACATTGGGCTCTATATGACAGATGTTTCAGGTTTAGTAACAATTTAGTACATACCATAAATGTCCTGCCTACCGGATACACATCGTCATAGTTGTTTGACAAAGAGATGGCCTTGGAGACAGAGCTACTGCAATTGCTAAAGTGCTGTGTTACCATGTTTGGTTATTATGGAATTATAAGTTCAATCCATCTTAAACCATCTTAATCCATGTTCAATCAGATTTTTTTTTATTATTTTCAGGATGATTAAACCATCTTAAACCTTCTATCTTTAGTTTTTGATGGTTCACCCCCTATGTTTGGACGACTCTTTTATCATAGCCATGGCAGGCCCCAAGCTTTGCTGGACCCAGCGGCCGGTGCTGATTCCTGTACCTGGGGCAGCATAGGGAAATCATCCCCTTTTGTGGCCCAACTTTTCAGGTTCGTGAAATATTTTTTTTACCCAGATAAAATGGATAGATTGTTAAAAAATGTCTAAGATGTGGGCAGTGGGATGGAGGAATGGGTTAAAACCATGTTAAAGCCTATGAATTCCTTTTTTGTTTGTTCCGGATGAACATCTATTTACTAAAGCTATTTTGGTGTTTTGGTTTTCACCATAATTTTGACACATTGGCATGTGAACTAGATGGGTGCACCAAAATAGCTATAGCAAATGGAAGAACTCCCACACGTTTTTAATTTTTAAACACACATTTTGGGAACAACTCTGAGTTTCATTGGCTCAGATGGGGCCATTTCAACAGCAAAACAATGAGGATTCTCTCGACCAAAAGTCGTGAATTTCACGGGCAGTTGCCTAGCAACCAAAACGACCCCAACTGGCTCAAGACCATCAATAACCTCGAAAATAGGCTCCTTTGGTAAGTGTTGTTTTATTCAACCACAGTCATGTCAACATATTTTAGACTTAGACTTTGAGGTCATTGTTGAGGTATCCGGGTGCTTCCGGGAGCTACCTATCCCGGATGAATTTGCTCAAATCTTCAGTGCATGATTAGTTTCTGGCGTGGACATGATATATATATATATATACTCCAATATAATGTGTTCTTTATATATATATATATATGTTACATGTTAGTATAATATGAGTCCGGGTCTTTGTGGGAGTGTCATTTTTGGTGAGTCTTGTGTATTGAATAATATAGAAAATGAATTACTTTAAACATATGTTTATGTATGTCTTAGTTTTGAGGCGTACCAGTTGTAGGATTATGTATAATATTGTGTAATATATTATATTATATTATATTATTATATTATATTATATTATTATATTATATTATATTATATTTTGTTTCAGCATATTTGTTTAAACATATTATACTATATTATATTATATGTTTTTGTATTATAACTATATTATATATTCTATATATTATATTATATTTTATTATATGATGTTATATTATATGGTTGTTTTATAATGTATTATACTAGATTATATTCTATAATATATCATTATATTATATTATTATAGTGCTATATATACATTCTATATTATATTATCATATAATATAGTTTATTGTATTATAATATGTTTTGTTATTTTATATTATAATATATTTTATTATGTTGTAACACCATTATAATATAATATTATATTATATTGTATTGTGTTATATTATATTATATTAAATTATATTATATTATATTATATTATTATATTATTATAGTACATGTTACTGTAGAATAATATGTTATATTTTACTATAGAATATTATGCTATATCATAATATTGTTATTCATATTTGTTTTATGATATTATTATATTTAATATAAAAAATGATAATAACAATAATGCTATTTTATGTGCGTTCTTCATTGGATCTCATGTTAAAATCTGGTCGGTCTTCTTGGGGCTGGAAAGTTCCAACAGGAACGCACGACTCCTATATTTGCATGTGCTGGTAGAAACAACCTTCCTTCAACTCACCCTACTGACTGTCACTGAAGGTAAACCGAGGGAAGTGCAGCTAGCTACAACAAACCTACTTGTATACAGTATAGATATCTTGAATCTTAGTTCATCCCTGTCTTAAAGTATTCAACCAAAGCCTGTGCTCCTGCCACTTTTTTGGGACCTTCGAGTCCTTAGAGCTTCCAGCCATCCATGCTGCCTCCAAGGACCTCTTTCCCAGCCTCCCATCACCGCAACCAGTGCTGTCCAGCGATTTTCTGGTTCCGCAGCCGAGCGACCAATCGGAACGGAGCGCGCTAGCAGGACGAGACAGCACTGGCTTGGAGTCCAATGCTAACTTTTGATGTTTCCGGATATCGCTGGTGGTGATATCCAAAGTTATTCAAACATTTCCATACAATTTCATACATATCACAGATTTTGTTCTGGATGACTTAAGAAGCCCACTGTGATGTCGGAAGGATGCTTGGGATTAGGGTGGAAAAAACTATGGCTGGAACCTGAAAAAAGGGCATGGCTGGCTAGTCTTTTAGTGTGGTTTCAGAGAAAAACATCTCTATTGCTTTGCCGGGCAGGGATCTCAGCACTAGACTTGCTGGACTTCTCCACTGGCAGGTATTCTCTACATTGCAAGCACCACCAACTCAGCATGTGCAGAGTGTTTGATCCCTCAAGCCATGGGCGGAATGAAGATGTTCACCGGGTGTCAATGATCATGCTATAATATACTATAATATGCTGGTTGGTGGTTTCAAACATTTTTTTTTTTACGCCATAAGATATGGGATAAATTCCTTCCCATTGGACTAATACCTTTTTCAAGATGCCGTTTAAAGCACCAACCAGTTCGCTATAGTTGTTTCGAGAGGGCTTATTTGACATGGTGTCCCCGGACCCCAATTCTTCACCTTCCACAGGTTGCTCGTGTTGTTGAGTCAGCCGAGGTGGGGGAAAAAGGCCAAACGCGCCGCCGGGAATGAGGTGCGTTCTCCAATGGCCATTTCCCAACATCCTCGCCCCTTTGCCGGATATCAGCGGGAATGGAGCAAAGGTCTCCCGGACCAGGGGGAACTCCCTGTTTTCTTTGGACTGCCGGGGGAACATTGCGGGGAATAATATATATATATATGCACATACTAACATTGTATGGTGCTTTGTTACGGTGAAAATATGTGAACATGTAAGAAGATGATGGAAGCAAACACATCAAATATGGCAGTACCCTATTTTCAGACGAAGCCAGTTGGGAAATCTGTGAAGTTTTATAGGAATCAGTGGGATCACGTTCGGTTCACTTACCTTTTGTTAGTTGTGAAACAGGCTCCAAACTGTGCTGAGACTGGACTTGAAAGCCTCGCGCTTTCAGGGTCTTTCAGGTGGAATCGTGTTGGAAATAAGATAAAGCCTACCCTCTGGTAATGACTAACATAGCTATTGAAAATGGCCACTTATAGTGGATTTCCCCATTGAAAATTGTGATTTTCCATAGTTATGTTAGTTTACCAGAGGGTAGCTTGAATGTATTATTCCACTGTATGAGTACAGTTAAGAAAAGACAGAGTCCAACTTGACACGGCAGCAGGTTGAGATGACAACTGACCCCGGATCCATCCGACATCAGAGCATGAGATGGACATTCACAAGCTTGATGATTCATGATATTACAGGTGTTTATTCCTGGAACCTAGAGTTCTGTGCAGCCATCGCATTCATGGACTCCGAAAGTGATACATGTTGACTAGCCTGCGGTGTCATCAAACCTGGCTAGCTGGGAAATCCCCAAACCAAATTGACGGATTTTCCATTGGGGTGTTGGATTACCGGAGAGTAAATGGGTTTGATATGTTTGAAAATAGCATGATGAGACATCCCGTTCCATGGATCTCATAATTGATTAATGAGCTGACAAAAAAGCTTCCCCATTGAAATGGCCTGGTAGGATGACTGGGCCATATGTCCCCGTTCACAATGGTGGTGCCCCACAGTTTGAGATATCCACCACTCCTCTACCGGCTGAAACGCTGCTGCTAAGGTCCGTTCGTTCCAAACTTGCCTCCAGTAGCGAGCTTAATTCGGATGGGGAAGGCAGCATCCTTTGGTCTAGGCTGAAAACTATTTAGCCGGGGGTGCAAAAGTAATGGTTAAAAATGGTGAGCATCTCCCTATTAGACCAAACACCAGCGATGCGACGCTCAGGGCGAGTTTCCGCTTCCCTTCCGCGTGCAGTGCCGGGCGTTGGCTGCGGATGGAGCCACTGGGCGGAACTGGGCAACTTTTTCCGGCGCCCTGGGCCTGGGCACCCCGTTCCGAAGAGGTTAAGGTTGACCAATCTATGGGGATATACATGGGGTTATGAATGGATATAACAATGGATATAACAACGGACATAACATGATATGTAGTAGTTGAGGTTCTAAAATGAATATGACAAGGAGGATAACCTCCATATGTTGGGATATGATCCCTCTAACCATCCAAATAGTTGATCTGGCAAACTGACTCAACGGTGATACCCAAAAATAGCTCATTGACCGGCGAAACTGTTAAACCCATGGATTTTTAATGAGATTTAAGGGTGCTCAATTTTGAGGCAAACTCAGAAGGGCTATACATATTCGCGTTGTAAGCCCGGGATCTTTGGGTCAAGTGACATCAGGTGACATCGAATTATACGTCGCAATGCGCCTGGCACAAGTTACAAAGAGCATCAGAGAGCCGAGTGTGAGTGTTGCGAAGGTACATGATTTCTCTTGCAGCTTTTACACACACACACATGTGTATACATATATTATTTATGTAATATAATATAATATGATATATTTTAATATAATATGATATATTATAATATAATATGATATATAATATAATTTAAGATATAACATAACATAACATAACATAACATAAAACAATATAATATAATATCATACAATATAATATAATATCATACAATATAATATGTATATTATTATATAATCATTATTATACACATTATTACATTGTACACAAACCAGCATCGGCACTTAAACCAGCTTGGGGTGCCGCCAAGGAATCGAAGCCGCCAAGGTGGAAATTGCTCGGTGAAAGCGGCGGAATGACCTCCATCTTATCCTGGTAAACAAACAGTTTGCTATTGAAAATGGCCATAGAAAGAGTTGATTTACCGATTTACCCATAAAACATGGTGATTTTCCAGAGTTATGTTAGTTTACCAGAGGGTATCCTGGTAAACTGACTGAGAACTCAGAGTTGGTGAGGCTGGTATAGGGAGTTTTTTGGTGGATGAACCTCGGTTTTGTAGCTTCATATAACATTTAATATAACTATCTAGATGCACTGGATTCGTTAAAGTATCCAGCACAATATGATGAAAATGGTGTTGCCAAAGTTTCAAAATTTACCATGTGTCCGGAATTTAATCGATTGAATCCGCCAGCAGACTTCCGCACTCCTTCACGTGCAGGTGGTCCGAGTGGCGTGAGGCGGAAGCCTATGAATTTGTCAAGTGGCTCGGCTTGTCGACGTGGAAACTGGATCAACACCTAGATATGGTAAACATATTGGAGAAGTTTATGCATGATGCTGTGCAGTATATATACACGTACATACTCATATACGGCACATGCATATCTTTATATACACACACATAATATCATATCATATCATATACCATATACCATATACCATATATGATATATTGTATATTGTACTTCATGTATCATGTACAGTATGTGCATCAAATAATCCCTTCCTCCTAATACTAACCCCCCCCCTAATACAAAACACGGCAGGTAGTTTTTAGTATTAGGGGGGTATTTATTATTAGGGAACCAAATCGAAGTCATGTTAATTAATTAATTAAATTTCCTTATATAACGCAATTAAAATATTGCCAAAAAATGACAATTCGAAGCTTACCCCTAATACTAAATTAAAACCCTTAATACTAAAAACTATTTTTTCCGATCTCAAAATCAATTAAATTTCCTTATATAACGCAATTAAAATATTGCCAAAAATGGCAGTTCGAAGCTTACCCCTAATACTAAATTAAAACCCTTAATACTAAAAACTATTTTGTCGGTCTCAAAATCAATTAAATTTCTTTATATAACGCAATTAAAATATTGCCAAAAATGGCAGTTCGAAGCTTACCCCTAATACTAAATTAAAACCCTTAATACTAAAAACTATTTTTTCCGATCTCAAAATCAATTAAATTTCCTTATATAACGCAATTAAAATATTGCCAAAATGGCAGTTCGAAGCTTACCCCTAATACTAAATTAAAACCCTTAATACTAAAAACTATTTTTTCCGATCTCAAAATCAATTAAATTTCCTTATATGACGCAATTAAAATATTGCCAAAAATGGCAGTTCGAAGCTTACCCCTAATTGCTAGAGTAGCCAGGCAGCTTGGAGTGAGGGATTGGGACTAGGCCCCCCTAATACTAAACACCCCGGGGTGAACTAGTTTTTAGTATTAGGGGGGAGAACCCACAAATGGTAGGTTGATTTTTAAATTGTTTTTTAAAGGAGATCAATTAAAAGTCAAATTGGCCAAACTGAAATTTTCGGAAATTGGAGATGGATGCCTGTTTTTAGTATTAGGGGGACGTTTAGTATTAGGAGGAAGGGATTACTATAATTTCATAATACACAAGATATATCATGTATCATGTACAGTATGTGCATCAAATACTATAATTTCATAATACACAAGATATAATATAAAATATATCATACATAATATGATATAAAATATATCGTATGTATAATTTAACATTTACAATATATCATATGTGATACATTATATTTGATATATCATAGGCCATACAATATCATACCATATCGTACCATATCGTACCATATCATTCCATATCATGCCATATCATGCCATACCATATCATATCATATTATATCATATAATACCACATATGTGTCATACAAAATATCATATAACATATTATAGATATATACACAGCATGTATCCTACATACCTAATCACATATATATATATATTACACATTGATCTGTATATGTATTCTATATTGTGTGTGTACACATTCTATGTGCACACCGCTGTTTCCCTTAGTGGGATTTGTTGCGAAAAATCAGCCCTATCCTGCTCACAATAGGGTAGTCACAACTGGTCACAAAGTGTGTTGCAAGCAAAACCGCAAACCTAGAAATTAACACGTCTGCTCCTACAGCTCGCATACTGTATACAACGATGTGCATATAAGTTAAAACAAAAACAAACATAAAGTACAAATCCAACAATAGGTGTCACAGGTGTGTTGTATGTACATAGATCTGTGCTGTATGTGTGTGTGCGGATTGC